GCTGATTAGAAAAGCAGGTGTTTCTAAGTGGAATTTGTTTTCCCAGTGTTTATACAGGACAACAAACAGGATCCAGGTAGCTGTCGCCCAAGAGTGGTTTTGGATGGTGCCTTTAGTTATGTGGCAAACATCTACTGTGAGTGAGCTAAAACCTGGAAAGGATACAAATATATTACCAGCCCAAACCTGGCTGCAGAAGGGGCAAACCCACAACCAATTGTTATTTGATTATTAGTCAGTCTAACCAGTTGCACAAACTTTCTATGATGTCTCTGTTTTCTGGCAGGTGTCGCTCTAGCTTTTGACTCAGTCAAAAACAAAAGAAAACAAAGCAAAACACAGAAACCCTCCGGCATCACCGCCCAGCTCTAATATCAACAGGTTTCCTTTGATTCTTGCACCTTGGAAAGAAGAGGTTTTCAGTTCTTTGCCAGAGATGATTTCCTGTTATTATTTAGTCTTAATTAAATTAACAAAAGCTTATCTGGCCTAGAAATGTTTTCCTTCTGTATTGTGGACTTAAAGGTTTTTCTCTTTTTCCTTCAAACTTTCAAAGTTTATTATGAACACAGATGAAGAAAAAAGCCTTTAAATTCATCTGTCTAAAAAACTGAAATATTGACTTTCCAAGAGAAAATAACTGATTCAAGTATAGTCATCTTACATAGCAGATCCCAGGATTTAACTATCAGCATGGCTATTTTTAATAAGTTAGTAATAGAAATCTAATTCAACAAATTTTTGAGTGTCTATGTAGGCATTGTACTAACTGCTGTCAAAAGAAGTAGGAAAACATTTTGTAGAATTCCTATAAGCGTCTCAAACTCAACATGTTTCCAAATTGAGAATTAATATTCCCTTTACACTCTCTTGTTCTCTTGTATTCCTGAATTCACTCTCTTGCACAAGCTAGGGTCATCCTTGACTCCTCCTTATGTTTCTTCAGCCCCCTAGCAACTTCCAACCAGCTAGTTACCAAATCCTGTTTACCTCGTAAATATTCTTCCAAGTCTTTCCCCTATACTCTGTTCCAATTGCCTCGACCACATTTATTCTTTTACTTAATTGTCCATTATTTATCTTTTGAGTCCAGTTCTTG